ACACACACACACACACACACACACACACACACACACACACACACACAGGTCTTTGGGGCATGCCCAGAACATCTAATATGGAGGCATCCTGAAGGGCTTGCCTAGACATATTCAGATAGATAGAACAACAAATAGATTGATAGCTATCTATATAAAATCACATATGTATATATAGTTATCCCTTCCATACCATGATTTTCCACATCGCAGTTTTGATATATTGTTGGCTGACATAAGAAATTAAATGGGAATTTGAGGGGAGTTTTGTGGAAGCTGCAGATGACGCATGAAGGCCAGCAGATGACACAGAGCCTACGACCAAATACTTAACCCAAATTTTACAGTAAGATACTGTAAACATCCCATAAAAGAAAAAGCTTCAGAGTTCTGTGGTATGAAGGGAGGGCCAAAACAGTTTTACATGGATTTTCCAGATCGCGGGGGTGCTTTGCCCCTAACCCTTACTGTGTAGAAGGAATAGCTGCATATGTATATGTGTATATACACAATATATATATGTATCTATCTATGTGAATGTGTATATACATGTACAGATACACATATGTATATGTGTCTATATATATGCATGTGTGTAAGTTGCATAACAGATGACTTTGCATTGATAGAGGAAATGTCTTTTTTGAGAGTTCCTTCCACCACTGAAATCACTACCCTGGACAAAGAAAAAAAAGTTGGCATGCATTATCTGAAGTATGTCTTGTTTGTCAATCAACTGAATAGTTTTTATTTTGTATGGGGAAGACTCAGTCTTATAGCTCAGGGACAAAACTTTCTCCTCTAGTAAAAAAAAAACCACAAACATATAAACTTTATTTTGACTTAATATGGTTGATCAAGATAAGGCTTAGTTCCCTCACTGGTGCTCTATCATTTATGCTAGATTACCTGACCACATGGATCTCATCACACTCTTTTTGTAGCTCTTATGATTTGGAGAGAATAAAATGCCATTCAACATAAGGACATTTTTGCTTAAGAAGTTTATCAAGAATCATCTGCAAGCCAAAAAATACTTATACAAAAGAGGGGTCAAACTCATGGCCCATTGGTCACGTTGCAGCCCACAACACTCCCATGTACTACCCAAATCAGATTAAAATGTAATTGGGAAATATTTAACAAAACAAATGAAGATGCAATAGAACATAGATAATGTTAATATGTGGTTTTCTTAGTCAATAAGTGGTCCACAGGGATTCTTATATGCACTGTAATGGCTCCCATTTCTATATGAGTTTGACACCACTACTGTACAATATCTAAATTTACCATCACCTATAAGACCTGTTTTATACAGCAAAGTATACTCTATACTGTGTATATGAAGTATACTGTACTGAAACCACAGGTAACTTGAAATTTAAATGAAGACGAATGTGATGATTTCGATTGTAATAATGAAGCTAAGCATGACAAAATACAGTGATATAGTGTAGCCTATATAGTTACTTATGCACAAGCTGAACAACAGAGC